GGAAAAATGCGCAAATAAACCAACAAGTGACGTGTTTGCGCTCTGATGTCGTCACCTGGTGAGGTAAAACCATTCCTTTCCTGTTATTTCTCTCTTCAGGCCAGGCGCAGGTGTTAGCTGTGGGGTTTCGGCCCAAACGAGCTGTTTTCCCCCCCAACGTGTCACTGCTCGGAGCTGGAGTTCCTCCCCCGTGCCGAGGAGATGCCGTCTGGCCTTTCGCTGCTGGTGGTGCTGGGGAGGGGGAAGCAGGGGACAGGGCGCCGCAGCCCTGGGGGGGTCTCCTAGCGTGGGTCCCGCGAGGGTTTTCCAGTGCCACTGGAAGCCCCTTTGTGTCTCTCAGAGGGACCAAAAGCACAGGAAGCATTTCAGAGTGCACCTCTGTCCCCTTTTGGAGACCTGATACTCCGAGGCGGGTGGCATCCCTCCAGGAATGTTGGTTTCCGTGGTGTTGAGCTAACGCTGGGATGTGCAGCTGCGCTCTTGGCTGAGAACTCAGCTCTAAGTGTGACACACAGACACATATATAAAGATGTTTCCATCCCAGAGGACCTCCACAGAGTGCATTCGCAGCCTGCAGGGCCTCGCTCCAAAATCCCCTTTCTGACTGGCTTTTTGGAGTCACTGGAAGTGATATTCCTGGAGAGACTTGCCCAGAGGTGGGAAGGTGTTTGGCTGTGTTGGAACAAGAAGGTGGGAGGAGGAAGGAAGGCTGATTACTCAGGGGAACAGGAAGAGAGGAAAGTCGAGGAGAGGTGTAGGTTGAGTTGGAAGAGAGATGCTGTAGAAACTTCAAAGATCACAAAGATTTAGTCTGAGGGTGGGTGGAAGTCATGGGCAAAACGATACTTGGCCCCGGCCTGATTCTTTCAGACGTTCTTGTATCTCAAGCCAGCCCGATGTTGCTCCTCTGTGTGTTATTTTCCATGGTTTTTGCTGGATTTGGAGCAAAGGAGGAGAGAAATTTACTGAGTAGCTTCCTAAGTGCGTCACAGCGTAACGCTGCACTACGTGGATGGTATTCTTAGCAGCACACGAAGTTCGCCTTCGTTTGAACACTGTGACTTTGATTCTCCGTCTTTGAAGTGGTGCTGTTGTCGCTGAGAGGGGTGTTTGTGGTAACAGCAGAGTGCTAGATTTCATAGGTAATACCACCTTTCAGCAGCAAATAGAAACAGTTTTAAATAAAAGGTATGCCTCTCAGTAGTGCTTGCCTGTCTCAATAATAGAAAAATAAATAGAAGGCATGTGAAATGGAGTCACGCAAGAAAGTGTCTCGGAAAGCCTAGGTCAGCTAAACCTTCTCTTGTCTGAGATAATTTTTGCAGCTTGAACCAGCCCCTCCAAGCATCCCCCAGAATGTGAGGTGCTAGAAGAGGAGACGATGCTGGAGGGATGGGGTCTCCTTCCCCCAGCCATGGTGCAGATCTGAGCCTTGCGCACTTCACAGCCGCCTGTCTCTGGCCACACAAGGACGGCATCATGTCACTTGCGGCCAGTTCAGGCTGCACATCGCAGCCACTAGGGCCAGGAATGATATTTTGATCAAACATTTCTTTGTGCTAGGCAGGAGATCTTTGAAATCCAGCCCCTGCTTGCTGCTGCTGACGGCTTTGCGAGGCCTGGGCTGTGATGCAGCATCACAGCTCCTGGCTCAGGTTTTATTGTCCAGGTTCTGAGAGGGCTTTTCCTTCCCCCTGCTCACAAGATGGTCAGTGGTAGGGAGAGCCTCCCCTGCCTGTTGCAGTTTGACTTCTCATGCTGGAAGGGGAAGGTTACAGCCTTGCAGCTGCCTGGCTGGCGGGGGGTAGCACAGCTGTGAGGGTCAGCAGTGCCTGGGCTCTGTGGGGCAGAGCCTGATCCGCACCAGGGGGCTGCCCCACGGTGTGCCTTAGGGTACAAATAAGGTCCCCAGCAAGCTTAGCAGCTAATGAGCATCTCATATCAGTTATTTATTAGTAATTTTCAAAACAGATTCGTGTCTTTCTTATATCCTCCCTCCGTGGCTGTCTCCAGAAATCTTCATTTCAACTTGCCTTCCCTCTTTTCTCCCCCAGAGCTTCCTGTTCTCCACCCAGGTTGGTTTTTTCACCTCTTCTGGGGCAGCTGAGAGGGATACTGCTCCAGCAGCTTCTCCTCATGGTTTCTGCCCCCAAGCTCTGCCCATGGAGCAGAGGATGCGAGACTTCCTCGGCTGCCTCAGTGCGAGTTGACGCAGTTGATCCCAGAGGGCTGGATTGAGCCATTTGATTCTGCGCTGGAGCAGATCAGGAGCGCTCCTGTGCCAGCTCTGCTCTGAGATCCTGTCCTCAGACAGAAGCCCCGTGAAGGCCGACGTAAAGCCAACTGGAGAGAGAACAGAGAGCAGCAGGCTGCTTGTGCCGCTGCCAGATCAGAGGTGTCTCACCTGCCTCCTGCTGTTGCTGTTTTTGCTGCTGTGGGAGAGTCCAGGGTGCACAAAAGACATCGAGGCCGCTGCAGGCAGCACCCCACATCTGGCACCAAGAGGGAGCAAAGACCTTGTCCTCCCTCCCTTCCCGTCTCACCCTTCCTTGGGAGAAGCTGGTGCTTCACCATTGTAATGCAGGAACAGATCATCTGATGGTTCAGGGGAGATGGAGGGATTCTTGTACTCAAAAAAAAAAAAAAACTCACCAAGTTTATGTTACTCCAGAGCTGCCTGTGATCCCCCGTCCACTGCAGCCCTCTCCTACTCAGATACCCCAAACCCAGAGTGTTCACCCCACCTCTTTTTCCCCCAGGCTATCCATTTTGTTGCTCCAAAGCTGAGTTTCTCTGCAGCACCAGGACATCTTGATCTGTCCCTAATCAGGAAGCCTCCTGTATAAGCAGAGCTCAGAGAGACTCCTGTAAAGGATTTATTTCCCCTGTATGAGGAGCACAGGAGCTCATGCGTATCGCTGTCGCAGCGTCTCTGCCAGGCTTTGGCTTTCCTGATTTCTCGGTGCCCCATGGTAGTGAGAGCACAAAGGATTTTAAAGAAGCTGACAACACCTGGTCTGGTGCATTTTTGGGGCTGGCCGCTCATGGTGGGATAACGGTGTGTTGCACAGAGCCCTGACCCGGTGCTGCTTTTTAATCAGCATCTGAATCATCGTAAGCGGGCTTGTTGGCAGTGTGTGCAGGCTGGCATCATGCAGCTTAACTCCTGGCAGATCTCTCAGCCTCACCCTCTGCGCTGTAGCTGGTTTAGGCAGGAGTTGGGAAGGCACCTGGCGTTTTGTATCAGCAATGGTGTGGCCAGCAGGAGCAGGGCAGCGATCGTCCCCCTGTGCTCGGCACTGGTGAGGCCGCACCTTGAATCCTGGGGTCAGTTTTGGGCCCCTCACCACAAGAAGGACATTGAGGGGCTGGAGCAGGTCCAGAGAAGGGCAACGAAGCTGGGGAAGGGTCTGGAGCACAGGGCTGACGAGGAGCGGCTGAGGGAGCTGGGGGGGTTCAGTCTGGAGAAGAGGAGGCTGAGAGGAGACCTCATCACTCTCTACAACTGCCTGAAAGGAGGGTGCAGCCAGGTGGGGGTTGGGCTCTTCTCCCAAGTAACAAGTGACAGGATGAGAGGAAATGTCCTCAAGTTGCACCAGGGGAGGTTTACATTGGATATTAGGGAGAAATTTCTTCACCGAAAGGGTCGTCAAGCACTGGAACGGGCTGCCCAGGGAAGTGGTGGCATCACCGTCCCTGGAGGGATTTAAAAGACGTGTAGATGTGGTGCTTGGGGACATGGGTTAGTGGTGGGCGTGGCAGTGGGAGGGTGCAGTTGGTGTCGATGATCTTAAAGGTCTTTTCCAACTAGCCTTCTGTACCCTAAAACTGTGGGAAATGCTCCCAAGTCTAAAGCATAAAGCTCTCTTTTCCCTCTGGTTCTCAACTCAGGCTGTAGCATTTCCCAGTGATTTGTGTTACTCCTGCTGCACTCTTCCCTGACTTTGCTCTGGGGCCGCGTTTCTCCTTTCCACTCCTCTCCTCTGCAGGTTGTGGCCAGCTCTCACTCCGTGGATTAGTTTTGCCGAGTCTTTGCTTACAATCTCCCCACGCTGTCTCCAGGTGCGAAGAGCAGTGCAGCACCCTGGATATTGTGACAACTGCTGGGGTGGTGGTTGGTGTTTCAGAATGTGCTGACCGAAGTAGCAGGATGCTCTGGTTGAACTCAGAAAGTCTCTTGAAGTTGCAGCTCTACTGCAAAATTAGGTTTTCATTGTTTAGAATGAAAGAAAAGAAGTTTTGGTATCTTATAAAGGAAAAAATGATTATTTTTTTTTTCTTAACTCCCACAGTCTCTGCTGGGTTACTCGTAGCTGCTGGGTAGCAGGTCGTACCCAACTGCCATGTACCCCGATTTCGGTCGTGACAGGTCACTGGGTGTGTGTCTTGAGCTGCTTTTGCGTGAGGTGGTGTTCAATAGCCACTACCTTATGGCTTTGCAGGGAAACAGCTGCCCTGCCTTAGGGGAAACACTGGCATCGCCACACTTTCGGTAGCGTAAAGGCTAGATTAAAAAGTACTTCATGTTAGGTGGAAGCCACTCATTCTTCATCTGCCCTTTTTTCAGTACCTGGAGAAGCAGTTCTGACCCCAGTAAGTTGTGATCCATGGCTACAGTGCTAATATGCCGAAGATTTCCGAGGCTGAGCAGGGTGACCACATTTTCAACTACAGCCAAGTGCAAGACCAAGAGCGGAAGCAGCGAAAGTAAGCAGGAAAAGGAAGAGAACCCAGAAACAGCCAACACCAGAACCGAAGGTGCGGCTACAATCCAGTTGCTGAATCCACTGGACTACAGAGTGTTGTATAATCCATCCGCCTACGCCAAAAGCCGAGCTGCCTCCCCGCAGCACGCTGCTCGGAGCGGCGGCCAGGCTCTCGGTGACACCTTCACCAGCCCTGGCAGCGCACAGGCTCAGCATACATTCGGTACCACCACTTCTCAAGGTTTGTCACCCCTCAGAAATGCCCTGACAAAGCCCAACTCCAAAACGCTCCTTGAGGAGGCCGTCTCAGCACATCCCTCTGCAGCACAAACCAAGGAGGAAGCAGAAAAGGAAAAAGCAGAGATGCATGATTCCAAGGAAGACCCTCGTGTGTTTCAGAAGGGAAGGCCTGAATACAGATCTCTCAGCTATGACAAGTCGGAGCCGATAGAGACCCTTCCTTCGGAAGAAGGTGACTCAATTTTACGCAGCGTGGCCGTATGTAAGGGCAGCCAGAGCCCGGAAGCTATCACAGATTATTTTCACAAGCTGAGTCGTTTGCCAGCAGAACATCACATGGTGGTGTTGTCCGAACCCAGGTTTAATACGCTGTGTTGCTCGGCTGTCAGAAACATCAGGTTGTTCAGCACTTCAGACCTCATCGAGATTTTAAAGGCTTGCATTCGTTTGGTTGTTCCACCCTCCCACCCTCTGCTGAACGCGTGCGAGAACGAGTTCTGCCGGCGGGCGTGGGACATGAACCTGGAGCAGCTGCTGCTGGTGGCCGATTGCTGGCGCTGTCTGGACCGTGCGGTGCCTTCCTACCTGAGCATTTTGTTCAGCTACACCAACATGCACTGGAAAGACCTCACTTTGCCCCAGTTTGTTCAGCTGCTTTATATCATAGGTGAAGGCCGGAGGTCACCCGCGGACTTGATGCAGAAGATGGAGAGCATGATTCTGAAACACTTGGACTCCTTCACCCTGGAGGAGGTGGGTGCTGTCTGCTTAGGGCTCTTCAAGTCCCTCAGTGGTATCTCTGACCATGTCATGAGAAAAATCGCAGACAGAGTCGCCCTACAGATGGAAGACATGAGCACCTACGCTTTGGTGAATGTGCTTAAAATGCTCCGCTACGCTCGCATGGACCACTTACCCCTCTTGAAGAAGCTTGGGAAGGTTATTCCCGCTCGCGTTCCTATGGTAAACATCCAGGGCATCATGCACATCTCTCTTTCCTGTTCCTCCCTACACTACTTTGACGAAGGCATCATGGCTGCTGTAGCCACGGCTTTGCCTTCTAAGGTGACTTACTGCCGAAGCAAAGATGCCGCCAAGTTCTTGTGGTCGTTTGGATGCCTGGACTACGAACCTCCCAACGAGGAGGAATTTTTCTCCAGCCTGATAGAGCAGATGCATAGAAAACTCTATGAATTTGGGAAGTTTCCTGAGCATCTCCTTACTGGTTTGCTTGGCCTGGCATTTGTCAAACGCTTCCCAGAGGAGCTGATAGACTATGCTTTGAGGGGTGAGTTTGTCCAGAAAATGAGAGGTAGTAAATACGAGCTCAAAAAGGACCTCTTCACCCTTAGTAGGAGTGTTGATATCGAGTGCCCGAGCTACCAGGGCAACCGCCTTCCCCCTCAGCTTTATGGAGAGTTTACCGAGATGGCTTTGAATCACGCAGAGCAGGAAATCTACGTCAGGCCTGAAATTGTGGAAGCCACGACTCTTCTCCAGAGCATGTTGGGTGGCCCCGAGTACGTGAGAAACCACATGATCCTGCCTCACACGAGATCGAGCGATCTGGAGGTTCATTTGGCTGCGGATGGACATCCCATCCCTTTCAACGCAAAGGACGCCATAGGAGATAAGAAACTAAAAGACATGGGAGTTAGTCTGACGGATGAGTTAATGGCTCAGCTTATAAAAGGGAGATCTAACAGCCGCTCTCCTGTGGAAGCGGAAAACGAAGCCAGGACTCCTGGGCAGGGGAGGAGGGAAGGAGCACGAGCACCAGACGCTGGGGATCGTGCTGCACATTCAGGTGGAGCTCTTACCACAGGTGCCAGATTGCAAGTTGAGCCTAAATTGGGGCGTTATCCTGAAGTTCCTTCTTCTCTCGCGTTGAATCAGCGGCCTCGGGGGGTGAAACTGGCCATTCAGGTGTCCAACCGAAACCACTATTGCTGCTGGTCCAAGCGGCTCTTGGGGCTGCACTGTTTGAAACGGCGGCAGCTGCGGCACCTGGGGTACGTGGTGGTCGAGCTTCCCTTCTGGGAATGGTTTCCCCTGCTCAGACGCACGCGGTTGGAGAAACTCAGCTACCTCCATTACAAAGTGTTCGACCCGGCGCTGCTCGGCAGGGCTGCCTAGTCCCCTCTGCTGCTCGCTCCGAGGCTGACGCAGCCTCCCAGATGTATCTCTCTTTCGGATTGCTGATGAAAATGGTCTCTGAGGGTTGGTTTAGTTTTTTGGCAGGTGCTTTGTGTGCTTGGGCTGCCTCGCTAAATTAGCCCATTCTGCTCTGCTGACAGTTGTGTGTCCCATGCTCTCCTTTTGTACGTAGATCCTCAAACGCTTCCGTGACAAATAAAAACCACCGCCCTGCTCGTTTTTCTCTGTGATTACTTTTTTCTCACCCTAAATGAAAGTAGATGGATTTGGTGACTCTAAGATCAGAACAGTGTCATGAGATTTAGGAGAGAATCAGGGTGATTTTTAGTCCTGAAGCTGACCCGGGTGCCAGGAGCACACACAAATATCTCCTTATGGTTTCCAGCACCATGGAGCTGGGGCTGGTGGGCACACAGCCTGAGTTTCTCCTTCAGGAGCAAGATGGAGCGTGAAAGCTGAGTGGTGAGGTGGCAGCTGGAGCTCAGAGTTGGGCTGCTCCGACCCGAAGACAGTAATTTCATGCTCAGCTCTCAGCAGTGGCCAGTGGGGAGGATTTACATCCTGTTGACCCTGGTGATAACGTCTGCCACTAACCGGGGCTGACAAACCCACCTTGAGATGATTCTCCTGCCTGGGTGATGAGATGATCTGTGCAAGCTCCAGCTGTGTGGAGCATCTGCTCTAGAGGCTGCTGGCTTCACATGGCTCCTGGTGTTATTTTCTTGCTCAGGGTGGGACCTGGTGTCTGATTTCTGCAGGATTATGAAGCACCGTAGGTCAGTGGACCAGCAGCTCCTGGTCATACGTAGGACACCAGGAAGGCACTTGGTGACTGGCTGCAGCAAGCCTGGTTTGAAATGACTTGTGCAAGGCCACAGAGGATCTTGCTGGCATAGAAAAGGACAGAGTGCAGTCCTTTAGGACATCCTGGTGGCACTTCATAGTCTTAGAATCCTTTGTGACCATAGAATGGTTAGGGTTGGAAGGGACCTTGAAGACGATAGAGTTGCAGTGATCTTTGAGTTGTTTGTTTTGACGAGTGATGACTTTGGTATTCCGATTTTGTGGGTGTTATATTTTTGAAGTGTTTGTAAATTCAGAACCTCCTTCCCATCACCGCCATGTGAGTTGCCCCCAGCACAGGAGACTTTTGCCTGTCCCCGATGATCCTTGTTCTCTGGCCTCAGCCAGCCCCTTTGCCTTCCTATCACAGCATGTCCAGCTGGTTCTCACTTTCCTTCTTCACCCAGGAGCTTAGTGCTAATCTCATCCCATTTAATCTGTCCTTTCACCCCCACTGGCTGTCTTTGAGTTGTATTTTAATGGGAAGAGGAAAAAAAAACACAGCCCTGGCTACAGGCAGCTCAGTAACCAGCTTCTGCTGTGAAGCAAGAGTGTCGGAGAGTTTTGCAGAAGAAGGGAGAGCAGTGACTGGGACGTGCAGATAATGGATTTTCCTTCTGAGATGCTGAACCTGGTGAGTTGGTTAATTCTGTCAGGGCCACAAACAGGTAGGAGAGAGTCCTATAAAATGTATATGTATACATACATACATAGCTCCTCATGGTGCAGAACAAGGAGCACTGAGTTGAAAGACAGAGAGTTTAGCAAGAGAATAAATTGTGATTAACCAGAGCTAATTGCCACAGATTAAGAGTGTGGTAGAGAAGGAGAGATTCAGGCTTAGGCTTGGAAGAAGATGTGAGTCTGTCCCAAGGGAATGGCTCGCACCCATCCGTCATCTGCCCAGCGCGAGGTAGCGCTGCCATGAGGAGTTTTCATGACCAGATGCCAAATGCCACCAGATGTAGGTGCCAAAAGTCAGACCAGTTCAAAAGCCTGTTTGAACAATTCCTCACTGGCAGCGCTGGACTGGAAACCAGTCCGGCTCAGAAAGGCTGGAAGGTGGTACTGGGGGAGCGTCGGTTTGGGCTTGTGCTCCCTGTGGAGGAGCAGGAATTGCTCCTGATGGCTGTCAGACCAAATTTTGGGCTAGAAGGAGCGCTCATCCAGCCTGCTATGGCTCTTTTTAGGTTTGGTCAAGCATTGCAGCCTTCAATCTCTGCTCTCTGCAGGCTGGGCTTCTCCTGTGTTAATTTTTATAGGTGGGACTTGTCCCTCAGCCACCACGTTTCTCGTTCCAGGCTGTTGTGGCGATTGCACAGGTGCTGCACCAGCATGCTTGGCAGGCAGGGAAAGCCAGCTCGTTAACACTCCGCGTTTCAGCGGCCGCACCGACGTGCCCCCAAAAGGGCAATTTCAATTTGGCTGAACTATAACAGCTTCGGCGGAAAAAATCATGAAAGGGCTGCTCGGTCGTGAAGGAAGCCGTGGGTTCCTGATTTGTGAGGTTGCCCGAAGCAATGACATATTAAAACCAAGGTCAGCGTAAGGTTAAAACTCTTACCTCGCAGATCATTTCATTCTTAAAAAGGATCTGATCTAACCAATTCGAGTCACGTTTTTGTCAATGGGAAGGACGGTGTGTTCACTTGAGTTTCTTTAATGGACATTGTCAGAAGAATCGGCCGCGTCAGCGTTCGGAACATGGATAATCACCCTTAGAGCTATTAAATGCCCTCTGCTCCCTTGGAGCTATTAAATACCGATTATTAATATTTGTGTTTAATCTTAGCTTACATCCGAGGCTCCCGGAGCCCTCCAGAAACATTTCTCTTTTTGGCAGCGCTGTGTTAGCGCTAGTTGGTGTTACCTGCATCCCGAGCGGCCCCGTCAGAGCTCGTCGCGTTGGGTGTTGTCCCAGAGCACCACCGGCAGGTCCTGCCAAGCTGAAGGCAGCAGATAGACCTGATGTGATGTTCTATCTACAAAACCTTCTGCATCTTGGATAAACTTTCAGATCTCATTTCTAGTCTGTCCATAGGTAGGATGCTTTTATTTAAAATAGCCATTTGTTCTTTAAAATTCCTCCAGGGGTTCACTAATTAATATTAACACAATTTTTTCTCTCAATCCCATCTGTCCATCACATTTAGGTTTTTATATTGGCTTGACCTCCCAGACTCAGATCTGAGCTGAATTTTAGGAACTACTGAGCTTGTAATTCATACAGGCTCCACACACTAAATCCTTTCACTGTTCGCTGATGTTCACTTTTTTATTTTGCCCTTTTTTTTTTTTTAACAAGCTGAATCTGATGCTCAGAAAGTGAGCTCTCTCCAACTGCCAAGATGGTAATAAACGTCTGTCTCCCGCAGTTCAAGCCAAGAATTCACTGCAACAAGGTAAAATAACGACGCGTTACGCTTTAGGGAGCTGGAGGGATGGAGGGGTTGGGTGGAAGTGGGGTGCTGGGCTGGCTGGGGCTGGGGAGGGCTTGTTCACCACTCTTCTGGGATATTTAGTGTTTCTGGAAGACTGATTTTTGGCTGGCCATGCCAAAAAAAAAAAACAAAGCAAAGGCAACCCACAGCAAACTCTTTTTTTTTGTGCGGTATGGCTGGTTCGGAGGGATTTTAACATGGGAGGCTGTGTATGGCCACTGGCAGTCGAGGACGGCTTTTCAGTCTGCAAAGCTGAGAGCATTTTTGTCAGTTAAAATCCCTAATCTTCCACTCTTTTAGCAGTCAGATCAGCTCTGCAAAGGGCTGGCCAGGTAGCAGAAGGTGCAGAGAAGAGCGGCTGGGGCTGCGTGGCTGGAGGAGAGTGGGAGTGGGTCTGTTCAGCACTAAAATGAAGGGTCTCTGGTGTTTTCTCAGCTGCACGTGAACCTGCAGCCTTGGGTCCTAGTTGATTTCATCTTGAGAATCTACAGAAGTGCTTGTGAAATTAGCTTCCTTTTATTTTCTTGCTTCACATTAAATCCACTTTTCTCCCGGAACACAGATTTCTGCTGATGGTTACGAAGTGGAGAATCTCATCTCCGAAGACCTTGCCAGGAGAAATCGTGGTTTCCGCAGCGAATACTTTATCAAACCTCCGGTCCACGTCACCATCTCTTTTCCCTTCAACATTGAGATCTGCAGGATTAATATCGACATCTCATCCGGGGGATACCAAACCTTCTCCGGGCTCGAAGTTTACACCTCTACCTCATGCAATAAAACCTCTTGGCAGAGCCCTGAGGGTCAGTTCTCAGGTCTGGCCGGTCAGCCTGTGTCGGACAAAGACACTTTCACGCTGGTGGGCAAAGCTGTCTTAAAAAATCAAAGCAAAGTGACGTTCGGCCACAGAGGCTTCAAGCCGAGGCCTCCCTTCCATCAGATGGAAAATGTCTTCTCCTACCCTGGCTCCGTATCTCAAGACCTCTGGAACAAAGGACCCTCCTCGCTGAGCAACGTGTCGCACTTAAAAATCTGCATCACCCACGTGGCTGGAGGCGGGCTGCCTTGCATTAAGAGGCTGGAGGTGTGGGGACAGCCTGCCAAGTCCTGCCCGCAGGAGGTCATCGAGGGTGTTTTTCAGGTGGCCTCCCAGTTCTTCGCCCAGGACGTCAGCAGCCTCAAGCCAGAGCTCTGGACGCCGATGGAGAGCGACTGCGAGCCCTTCAGCGCCAGTGACAGCGAGCAGCAGACCCTCCGCAAGCTGGTGGATGTCGTCCAAGACATTCCTGAAGAATTCCTGGACCCCATCACTCTGGAGATCATGACCTTCCCCATGCTCCTGCCCTCTGGGAAGGTGATCGACCAAACCACCTTGGAAAAATGCAACCGGAGCGAGGCGTCTTGGGGCAGGGTACCCAGTGACCCTTTCACTGGGGTGGCCTTCAGCCAGCAGTCGCAGCCCCTACCTCACCCTACGCTCAAGGCCAGGATAGACCATTTCCTCTTGCAGCACAGCATCCCTGGCACCAACCTGCTCGGGAGGGCCCACGCCTCGGAAATGCTCGTACCTTCTTCCGTAACAATGTCTTCTCTGAAAAGGAAAATGGACTGTATGGATCAGAGCTCCCTGCAGCCACCTTATTTTTCTTCTACAAACTTACTTGTCTCGTCTACCTCAGAGAACAGTGCTAAAAA